TGTTGTCTTTAGAGATAGCGTAATCCGGCCCCTACTTAGCTTGTAATATACATGTTAATTTTCCCCATAAATTGAGTGGTTGGTACATTTCTAGCTCATCTTATTGGATTCAATCTTGTTAATGAAATGCTTCTTCTTTTTTTTTTTTTAAGTATCTTAAGTTACATAATGAGATATAATTTTTTTTTATTCTTTAATCTACTTCAATTACATATTATTTGATTTGCACTAAGGATATTTTATTTTTAGTAAAATGAGATTATTATTGATTATTTAAGTTATTAACTTTAATGAATTGTTTCAATTAAAGAAAGTTTGAGATTTTAAATTTAAATTTTGAGACCAATAAAAAAGACTTAAAAAAAAGATTATCATTTGTTATTTAACTCACAGTAACTAAATTAAAAAAAGAAAAAAAAAGAAAAAAAGAAGAAGAAAGAACTCTCCAAATTCATAAAAAAAATTACATGTCCATTGGTCCTCAAAGAATTATTACCAACCAGATCATGAACGAATTAACTTGTATCTGGACATACTGATGTGAACGAAACCAAATCTCAGGCTCGGAACTTGAACCCATTAGTGAACTCAATAGTCTGTTCCCATGTGGTACGTATCAGATGTGAAATTAGGCTGTTTTCCACTGCATATTGAGAGGCTCAGAATAATTACTGACTAACATAAAAAAAGTTATATAAAAAAATTCTAAAAAAAAAAAAAGTTGCCTCTTAATAATTTATTATTTCAATTAATGCCAAATGTCTATTATGGATTAGGCCTCGACCTAATTAAATTCCTAGAACTATTATCAGCTGAATGTAACAACCCATTATTAGCAAAACAAACAACCCTTGTAAACCTTGCCCATGCTCACATTGATGAGATAAACAGAGATCTATCAACTTAAATATCCTTTTAGTTATTTCACTTATTAGTGATTGATTTTTTATTGAAAGTTCACATAATATAATAATAAGTATGGTTATAGTCACCAATCAAATTGTTAAAATCATTAAATTTATATTTAATTTAATTGTATTGATATTTATATCTTTTAAATAAATAATTATAATGTCTAAAAATATTAACTTATAAATTAATTATAATTTATTAAATAATAAATATTAATTATTTTATTAATTATTAATTATATTAAATAAAATTAATATTTTTAAAACTATTTTGATAATCTTAACCATTTAAATGACAACCACAACCACACTCTATAACTACAATAGTTTGGGTTCTATCGTTAGCTCACATGCATGGCCCGTTCCCGACAACTCTACGTGTGGAGATGTGTTGAGCACTTAAGCGAAGAAAATAAGCAAGGCATCGCTTATATACAGTACATATTCTGATTGGAACTGATCGAATGAGAGGCCAGCAGACCAGAAAAGGACTTGTCAGGAAACTTGGTTTTCGTTGCTTCACATCACTTCACCTGATAACCATTACCATTGGTGTTGCCCTCAGGCTGGTTGTGTGTATGGGGTGGGGTTATTGCCACAGCCACTAATGTTAATGCCACAGCTTTTTTCAGTTATTTGACTATTATACCCCTCATTTGAATCCAACTTGCAGCAGTCACCACCTTCTCCGCGTGGGTTAATGGTCAAATAACTGAAAAAAGCTGTGGCATTAACATTAGTGGCTGTGGCAATAACCCCACCCGTGTGTATGTGGCCCAGAACAAATATATATCTGTTTGCCTAAACCCATCAAATCTGAACCTGGGCCACGGCATCGGACTGGACCATGTGTCATTTAGTGCCAAAATCTCAGAATTACGGTGCACAGAGATTAGGTCGGTAGCAAGCATTAAATCATCAGGTAGCAAGCATTAAATCATCAAATCTTATACCATGTGAACCTCATTGATCTCTGTGTATTCGTTAGTCCTTCAAGATTGTTAGGGCCACTTTTTCCTTTCTTGTACGTAAGTTTTAGTGCGGGTCGGGCTGTCGGAGGGTTTTTTTTTTTTTTTTTTGAACTGAAGTTAAAGGTTGTCGGAGGTTTTAGTTTAGGAGAGTATCGAAAACAATAATGCCATACTAATTTTGTGGTACTACGATATGCTTGCGGTGGGATAGGAACTTATTACTAACCCCCAACAGAATCCATTAATTGAAGGTTTTGAAGCCTCTGCTTAGCTCACAATCATCTAATTAATTCTCAGGCTCCAATCAATATGATTTTGATTTTTGATTGTTAATTAGTTTTTATTTTTTATATACTTGTTATAAAAATTAGAATTTATTAAATTTAAATATAGTATTTTTTTTAATCAACAAATTTAAATATAATATTAATTATAAAATTATAAAATTATAAAAATTATAAATCAAAACTATAATAAACAGAACTTTAGCTAACATCATAACATACTTGTTAAGTGTATATACTATGGTATCATAAACAGAAAGTACAATGAGTTTAAGATATCTGTGCATAGATGACTACACAAATAAAAACATTGACAAGGAATGATCCTTATCTTCCCAACCCTCTCCATTATTGTCGAGTTTAGACTTACAGAGTAATCTAAATAATGTAAAACAGATGAGCCTGATGACCAATCCCAGTTGGAGATTTGACTTGGATCATTCAATTTATTGGATCATCTGATGACATAATGTACACATTAAGTAACGTTTTTTGTGGGTGAAGTGAAAGTTAACTAATAAGATTCCATTGGACGGGTTGTCTCTAGTTAA